ACTGTGGTACTTACCTGATTGGAGACTTGGAGATTGTTGAGGTTGATACTCGGCTGCATCACAGTTGGACACCGGTTACATCTGGACTCKGTTATCTCCGACATTGGTGACCTTTGGTCCTCAACATTTTGATCTTGTTATATGACATTCTGGACTACCATTTCGGAGACCTATCAGACTCTATCTTGTGACCTATCGGTGTGATCTACCTCCCACCTCCTTCGTCTCTCCTCCCACCTTTCATCTGTGCATGTGTGCACGGGATCTGGGTATCGTCTATGAATGACCCAGACCCCACCATCTCGTGATTGTATGTGTGTGGAGTGATGCCATGTAAGTCAGTTGCTGTGAGTCAGTCTATGTGAGTCAGTTCGTTATCAGACTTCCGCTGCATAAATGCTCATCCTATATTGGTTGATCTTTGGTTCTGCCCATACTCATTGAAGTATGTAACAGTATCATTGGTCTAATGGAAAGAAGCATGGAGTGGGTTATATCATGTATGTTTAAGCATGGAGTGGGTTATATTATGTATGTTTATGCAACTTGGCCGGTGAACTGGAATGGGACTGACGCTCCCCAGAATGTCTTAGGAGTGAGGACCAGGAAAAAAAACAAAAACAAAAACTTTTTAGTGTCTGGCACTCCCAAGCAAGTGTTTCGTAACTTTCGTTACTTAAAACTACCACTACCTTTTGTTGTACCATTTCTCAATTTATATGTGTCATCCTTGCGCAGAGGCCATGCTAATCTTCTCTGTATCGTTCCAATTTTAACGGATGACATTGTCCGGAAGGACAAACCTACAACTACGTTTCCCAGGCAATGTTGAGAATAGAAAATGTCGCCGTTCTTTTGAGACTCAGGACTACCCGACCTGAATGGCTGGCACCAGCCAAAAGAAAAGAAAAAGGTGCTGTGCTGGCTCTTCAGCAAAGCTTGGCATGCAGTTATTTTCCGCCTCGTCATAAAGAGGGTCAGAGGTCGTGGTGGTTTAATACTTTCCGCGATCGGTGTTTTCCTGAAGAGCAGTTGACTCTTCATCTGCAACCGTAATCCCATGAGCCTAGCACGGTTGTGTTGTTAAGGGGCCTGATGGGTTTGGCAATGGAATCACTTTTTGTGCAGTTGTCCATGTGGAGGTGCAGTAATGAGCTTCGCAAAGCGGCATCCAAGGTAGCTGAGCATGGATTACAAAGGGAGTCAGTAAAACATTATCAAGGTAAGATTACCAATTCACCACCCATAGACCTCATTCCCAAGTGCTCTTGAAATTTCAGAGCTTGACGGCCATAGAAAGTAACGGATGGCTCAACAAACCAAACAAGGCAGATCTCAACCAGAATGTTCAAACTGGGGGCTGTACACTCGCACACATGGCAGAATGTACATCATGCTGTGCCATGCACCATAAATGAAACGAAATCAGCGGCTGAACTGGAAACGAACTGGGGACGGGATTGGGAAATGGCGTGGGCGACGAAATGGAAACAGAATGCTAATCGAATTGGGAAACGGAATGGGACACAAAATGGGACACAAAATGGGACACAAAATGCGACACAAAATGGGACACAAAATGGGACACAAAACGGGACACAAAATGGGAAGCAGAATGCGAAATAGAAGCCCATTGAAGCCTCTTGGGAAACAAAAATGGACACAAAATGGGACACGGATTGGGCACCTGAATGGGAAACAGAATGGGAAATGGAACAGGGAACTGAATGAGAAACAGAACGAGAAGGGGAATGGGGAATGGGGAATGGAATGGTTGAGGTAAGCAGATACGAATTTGAATCCTGATGGGATGAAATGGCTCTAAAACGGAGATTGGGACACAGAGTGGGACCTGGATTAGGAACCCAAATGGGAAACAAAGTGGAAGTGGAATGGGAAACGTAACGGGAAACTGAATGAGAAATGGGATGCGAAAACTGACTCCTGTATTTAATATTTATCGACTTGCCACTGTTGCCAGCGGAAAATGACCAGACTGGTGCTCCCCCGATTCGACTGGAGCTAGGACCATAAGGCCCAGGGCCGTGGTCCCACTAGCGAAGGGGATAGGATAAAAATCCTGAATCTGGCTATGTTTTATGCATAGATACAGAAAAGCAGTTCTATCTCGATTTCCTGCTCCTGTCCTCAAACACGTCCAGATTCAGGCATTCAATCCGATGCTCTTTGCTAATGGGACCACTGCCCTGAAAATAAACACCAGTCCGTTTCACAGCAGAATGGGAAACAGAATGAGAAACGGACTGGGAAATGCAATGGGAAACAAAATGGGAAACGGGAATGGGAAACGGGAATGGGAAACGGAATGGGACACAGAATGGGACACAGAATGGGATACGGAATGGGATACGGAATAGACGGAGGGGAAAATGGAGCAAGAGATGGAAATGCGGCACAGAGGTGAGAAAAAGAAAAAAATTCAAAAAATGCCAGTAGGTTACAGTCGAATGGAAAAATTACAAGACAGGCTTTGAAAGGGAAATAGAAGGAAAAAACATTGAAAATGCCGAAAAATGATATCCGTTAGAAGTTAGAACTTAGAATGTATCTCAGGCCATATCTTTTTTGAAATCGAATGGTCACTGTTTTTCCTAGCAGGATTTGAACTTGCGACTGTTGTTGTCATCAGTTCCAGCACACATGCATCTTATGAATCCGTTAGAATTTCTCGCAGGCAATCTCCTTTTTGATATTCTACATTAAGCCGTGGATGGGGCAGAGAAACTTCAATCTGATTTGCACAGACTGGTATAGAAATGTGTAGTCGAAGCAAGCCAAGATGTTCGAGGAATTAATGCAAGTGCCTTTCTTAAGAATAAAATTAAAAATCCAGCCATTTTTTGCAACTTCCCCTTTATAATAGTGTAAACAAATTAACATTAAATGGGAAAATTTTATTCAAAATCACTTTAAAAAGTAAGCAAGCCAGGATGGGAGTTGTGAAGAAAGGGGGAGTGACTAGAACGGTGCGTTGCTGAGGGATGAAATTTTGTGTACGGTCTTTCAGTATCAGCCCTGTGGTGGGCATCAGCAATGTCCCTACCGTCTTCCCCCGAGTACAACGTACGGTCATTATAGCTGTATTTGGAGCACCTTTCAGTCTAAATACAGCCATAATGACCGTACGTTGTATTCGGGGGAAGAAGGTACCGTCTTCACCCCCGCATAACACCTGGTCATTATAGCCGTATTCGGGGCAATCTTCTGTCCAGATGCAGTGATAATGACCGGGCGTTCTATTCGGGTGAAGACGGTAGCCAAAACTTCACCGAGCTGTTGACTGTGTTCTAAAGGGCAGGTAATGGGTCTCGCTCCACTTCACTAGACTCTCGAAAATTTGAGAGGTCTGCCTCGCTCCACTTACACTAGACAAACGGCTCCAAAATGTATGTCGAGTGCTGTCAGAAAGTGTGCTAGACCCGCACTTTGTACTCCTAGTGTTCGCCCGCCTGCAACACCCGTTTCTCAAGGGTCCCCTCGCCTGCCTGCAACACCCGTTTTCTCAAGGGCCCTCGGTGCTGGTATTGAAACGGTGCTGAAATTTGAGAGTCCGCCACAAGTCTGGGTGGACAAACCAGGTTGTCGGTGTCCTTTGTGGAATCCGGCTGCTCTAGACTGTCCAAAGCGCGGCCCCACGTATCTTTCCATCTTGTAGCAGAAGATTCATTTTCATTTTGCACATTTGGCCATTGGTTTCCTCGCTCCATTACACTAGACTCCGCTTTAGAGTGTTAGAGAGTCCGTCATGAGTAGCGCTCTCTAGTGTAAGTGGAGCGAGGCCTACTTTTTCGCTATTTTCTAGATTCTGACAACTCTAGACTGACTCTAGACTATTTTCTAGTCTAGTGTAGTGGAGTTAGACCCAATATCTGGGAGAATGGGTTGAGTACATCTCTGTATGAACATGAAAGGAGAAGTGGAGTTGAGAAATGTAAACTATCGAACACGTACCGTTGGGAAAACAAAGCTGCTGACTTGTGTAATAAACTTGTGTTCCTCGTGGATTCATTGAATTTCATTCCTTCTGGGGTGTGGTTTTGCTTATGGGCAACTTCTCAAATTCTTCGCAGAGTTTTGGAGTGTTATTCCTCCCAGTGAGCCATATCGATTGCTGCTGAGTTCTGTCAGGGACAAGTTGTTCAATACTCGCGAGCGCCTCATGCATATTCTGCAGACGGGATTCTCTTACGTTTCTGAGGAGGACACTATCCATTCAAAAGAAGAGGTATGCTGATCATGCAGCCTGCCGTAGAGGGAATTGCTGTTGTTTTTTTGTTTGTTTGTCTCCAGATCGTAGTAGAGGCTGGATGCTAGGCCTCGGGAGTATCCGGAATTGCTGTTTTCATCACTGTTTTTTTTGTTTGTTTCTTTTCTGTGAACGCTTAGGAGAAATTTCCGCTTTGAACGGCGCTTTTGTGATTTTGCAGCAATTTTTTTTTTTTTTTTTTTTTTTTTTTTCCGAATTTTTTTTTTCCCTCTCGTACGGGGGCGTACAAG